AATCAGCTGAATGTGAAGAATCGGCTAGTGGAAGTTTTTTTTTTTTTTTTTTTTTTTTTTTTTTTTTTTTTTTTTTTAATAGCGTCTTTCGAAGTAATGGTCCTACTAACAAAATGATGAAAACGCTGCTGCTGTTGGTTCAGGGGAGCTTCTGTTGGAAAGCTCCGCACCCAGATTGGCCACTTTTCTGTTCATCCATCCCTCTATGTCTGTGGCTTGGAACAGTATGCATGCATAGCTCTTGAAACAAATGATGTCATTTTCTCCCTCTTGGCCAACAGGTGTGTTGATGACTTTGCAACTGAGACACTGAATTTTAAGAGTCTTGCTAACAGCCAAGTGTTCCAAGGACCCTGATGGGCACTTGGTACCACTGAGGGCTCAGGGAATGACTGAGTGATACAAGTCTCCGGAGTGAGTAGGATTCTAAACTGTGTTGAGAAGCGTTTGAAACATGAGCTAGGAGGTTACTTGAGATTGAGTGATGACCTTGACTGCTGTGGCTCATCACCTTGTCCTGGGGATGTAACACTGTCACTGCACCTTCGTCAGAAGTGAACATTAAGGTATCTTGGTGACAGGACACATGATGAAAAGGACAAATGGCTCATCATGGACACTTGAGTTTTGAGTCACTGGGGCAGGGGCAATTGGTAAGAAAGCAAAGCATGTGGAGGAGAATGAAAGAGACTTTAAGGGAAGACACAGTATGACTTTCAAGTTGTGATTGTAGATCATTAGGAGAGGAAATGTGAGTGGGGGTGTGGCGCTGAATATTTTGTCACTGTGGGGTATTCAGCTGTCTAAGATTAGGACCTGTGTTCAGTCAGCCCCTACATGCTGCCTGCAGCAGACAGTGGTGCAGCCGCAGGAGGCCATAGTGTGTGTGCATTCCTTGCTTCCCAGTGTGGAGGAAGAGCATCTTTCTTCCTTTGAATTAATATAACCTCATCAGTATAGGGTGCCACTCACAGGTCTGAGCTGAGTAAGTTTGCCTCCCAACAGCACTTAACTTGCCCCCAGGTTTGACCGACAGATGTATGATCATAGGCGATCAGAGGTTCCCATCTTCCCAGACCAGTACATATGGTGGAGGGAGAGTCTTCCGAATGAAACACAGGAGTGGGTCGGCACACCTCTGATGGGTGATGTCATTCTGTATGCTGTGAAAATGTGTTGCTCTGATTGGTTGATACATAAAGCTGTTCAGCCAATGGTGAGGCAGAATAAGGTTAGGCGGGACATTCTAACTGGAGAGATAAGAGAGAAAAAAAGAGCACAGGAGACGCTGCTAGCCACCACCAGAAGAAGCAAGACGTGAAGGTACCGGTAAGCCACGAGCCATGTGGCAAAGTATAGATTTATAGAAATGGGTTAATTTAAGATGTAAGAGATAGCTAGTGAGAAGCCTGAGGCATTGGGCCATACAGTTCATAATTAATATGTAAGTGTTCATTGGGTCTGAGTGGCTGCGGGATCGCAGGACCACAGGAGCCGGGCAGGACCAGGAAAACATTCAGCTACACCCCTCTGTACAAAACTGACTCTGTCTTTTTGTGTGCAGTGAGGCTCTCTCACAAAGGCACATAGCATTTCCCCAGTCTTACTGGGAGACCTCGGAGATCACTCAACTTTGCTGTACCAGTCCTGCCCTCAATCATATGGGGCCCCTGCTTCAGCTCCCATGACTGTGATGGAGATGAAGGGGGTTACTCTGCTCAGCTGTGCTCAGGTCTAGAAGGCAGCCTCAACACATCTACACTGCAGGAAGCCATCCCTGAAAATTCCCTTCTTGTGGCTTCCATTTTCCAATTCATCTGGTAGAAAGATAACTCTGCCAAATTTTACCAGGGCCTGCTGGATCCTAGTAAGAGAGGGATTTCAGACAGAGACATGTCTATAGTTCACAGTAAAAGTAAAGTCACTCTGGTTAGAAAGCATCTCTCCTGTACATGCCTAGCCATCCAGGGGGGATTTCAGGGCCATACCAGAAGCAATACAGCAAGCACAGTAGATGTTCATAGACATAGAGGGCACAAAACCAGACCAGATGGGAGTCATATAAGAAACATGGGACTGCCGGGCGGTGGTGGCGCACGCCTTTAATCCCAGCACTCGGGAGGCAGAGCCAGGCGGATCTCTGTGAGTTCGAGGCCAGCCTGGTCTCCAAAGTGAGTTCCAGGAAAAGTGCAAAGCTACACAGAGAAACCCTGTCTCGAAAAACCAAAAAAAAAAAGAAACATGGAACCGACTGTGGGGCTGGAGAGATGGCTCAGAGGTTAAGAGTACTGGCGGCTCTTCCTAGAGGTCCTGAGTTCAATTCCCAGCAACCACATGGTGGCTCACAACCATCTACAGTGGCATCTGAGGCCCTCTTCCGGCCTGCAGGCATACATGCAGGTAAAATAAACAAACAAACAAACAAACAAATAATAAAATAAAAAGAAATGTGGGGCTGCACTGAGTTCTTGTTTTATACCCCAAAAGAAGATTAAAAAGCCATGCCAAGAGGCTCAGTGGTGAAGGCCTACCCGAAATCAAAGCTGGGTGGGAACAGGGCAGTAAGACAGATGGAGTAGCTGGTGGTGGGTACCAGTCTTGGAATGGCTGGCTCTCCCAAAGAAGGGACTGGTAATACGCTGATCCGCCCCCTTGAAATCCTGCCCCTCGGCACCGCCCTGAGTCCTGACGTAAAAGCCTCTTCTCTCTCTTCCGCTTTCCTCTCAGGAGGCACACCCTCTCTAACCCCCTCTCTCTTCTTCCCTCTCCTTTCTGTCTTTTCCTGTCTTTCTCTTTATCCCTCATCATAATAAACCATTTCTGCAGGGATGCAGCCTGGGTTGTGAATGTCCACCTGCCACTGCCCACAGCATGCAGCATGTCAGCATGGTCCCCTGCACGAGTGGGATACCCTGACCCAGCCAGCTGGGGGTTTCCCAGGGGTGCACAATTCCTAACAGGGACCAGTGCTCTTCCTGCCACACTTACCCCCATTGTTCTGCTCTGCAGAGGGCATGGCCCACAGTGCTCTTCTCCCACAGAAGTAAACTCCAAGAAAACACTGGCAATACAGGCCCCCCGACCTATGCCGCTCAGCCTGCTACTGACCAGTTGGACACCTTCTGAAAAGGTGTTTGTTTCCACTCCACTTTTAAAATTAGAAACATCCCCTAACCTCGGTCTTCCAGTGTCTGGACTATTCTCCCTCATGAAATGATGATTCCCATTTCAAAGCTGTATTTACAGTCTAATTATGTTATTTTCTTTGATCCTCTGGCTTCTCTGGTTCTTTCTTGGCTCCATCTATCTGGCTCTTGATTAGAAATCCATGCTAACCAACTTAAGGCTGGTTATTGGAAATCCATTGTGACGGGGGATAAATGAAATCTCTTTATGTTTAGTCAGCACAACGTGCATCCTACTGGTGCCAGCAAAAGCCTCTGGGGCTTTGGGAATTTGAAAAATGTACTAGCCCAGTTTACAGATACTATCTATAAGACTCCCGCACTGGACCCAGAGCGGATTTTCGTCCTAGTCTCTGGCATAAGGAAGTTATTGCATTTGTTCAGGCATTCTCCCAAGCTGTGCCGGTCTTCTGCCCCAGGCAGAGTAATCACAAAATAGCAACATCCCAAGAGGTATTTGCAAAGTAAATGCAGGGCCATTCCAACTTGGAAAGAAAGACTGAGAGACTGAGCAAACCAGGAAGGTAGAAAAGGACCCATAAGGCCAATTTCAGTCAACTGGGAGTCCATAGTAGGAAACACACAGGAGGATCAGCGTGGGATCAAGTTAGCTGAGAGTGCACTGTCATGACTTCCCACATCAAATCCCTAGAAGTAATAGGGAAGCATTTTGTAAAACTCCCTAAGCGTTTTAAAAAGCAACTAATGTTCCTGTGTACCAGAAGCCAGGAATGACCAGGAAACATGAAAGGCAGACTATTTTCTTCTTCCTAAAAGAGGAAACCTCAACTGAAAATGCAGAGAAGAGTCCCTGTTTCAGAAAGGAGAGTCAGAGGGATCCGAATCAAATCAAACTGCCAGCTGTCTCAACAAGGCAGGGTCAGATGGGGTCACCTAGGCTGACTCACAGTGACTGTCAGCCAGCAGGGACAAACAGCCCAGTAGATGAACTGTCACACTTGGTAGACAACATCTCACAGAACCCCAGGGAAGCATGCTGAGAAGGAGACACGCAACTCACAATCCAATCATGATGCTTAGAAATACATGCGCCCCAGCTGGGCAGTGGTGGTGCAAGCTTTTAATCCCAGTTCTTGGAGGCAGAGGCAGATGGAGCCCTGAGTTCGAGGCCAGCCTGATCTACAGAGTGAGTTCCAGGACAGCCAGGGCTATACAGAGAAGCCCTGTTTTCAAAACAAAACAAAATTGACTTTTTCATGTGAGTACTAGTAAACGTGAAATTACTTCTCTCTGGACAGACTTTCCCTGGGCTCCAAAGCAATGGGGTGACAGGAAGTGTGAGAAGTTAGGCTGTGGAAGACAGGTCAAAATGCATCAGCATCTCTTTCTGTTTGGAAAAGAAGAAGTAGAATATGGGAGAAGAAATACTGTAACATTGGAGGAAAATGACCACGAACTGAGTAAAGATGGGCCTTCCATTGGCAAGGGCTACTGATGCTGAAGAATGCAGTCCCACTAAAGATGTCTTGAAAGGGGAGGGTACCTGTTTTCAGTATCACCATTTGCCTAATCTAGAAGGGTCTAGTCAATGTGGCAACCTGCAATCCAGGAAGGAGAGACTTTCTTTCTTGCAAATGGAATGACTGTCTATATGCCGATACCCAGCACTCGCTTTTCAGAATGGCAGCTTTTTCCATTTCTAGCCTGCAAAGTTGGGGCCCGAGGAAAACATACCAGCGCTGCCTTCTCTCCAGGCAGACCACTATGATCCCGGAAGAGCTGGAATGAGCAGCCGTGAGAGTGTGAAGCCCTCAAAGCTGAAAGGAGCAGCATGGGGGCATGAGGGTCGCTTACCGTCGGATGGCGCTGGCGAACTCTGTGGCCAGCTCACTGTCACTGTTCATCCTTACTTCAGACAAAGCCGGGGAGGCAGCATCAGCACACTCCTGAGGAGGGCAAGCATATTCCTTGTCAGATGTGAAGCAGGGCCCAGGAGCACTTCAACAGCCATCCCCGCTGTGGGGCACAGGGCAGCAGTGCCAAGACCTTGGGCCAGCTGATGGAAAGCCAGGCAGCAAATCTGGTGACTGTCTCCTCTGTTCCCAGATTTATCATTACCTTCATGTGTTACCCTGACTTAGGAGAACCTGGAGGAACACTTTCTACACTGGCACTGGTCTAAGCCTGTCACACACCACTACTCCCTTGTCACTAGGAAGGAACCTCCCAGGCAGCTAGACTGTACTATCTACTGTGGTCTTCATTCACCATGGAAGAAACCAAGGCAGTGGGGTTACCCTGCCCAGTTACTAGCTAGAAGCTAGCAGATCCAGACCTCAAAGCCAGGCCCTCTGGCTCCGTGTGAGTCTCTCCAGGAAGCAAATATACACAAATGTTCTTGCTGACACATCCCACTCTTTTGAGAGAAAGCTTGCTTTTTCTAAATGGGGGAGCTTTGTTATGTTCCATGTAATCGTAAAACTCAGGTTGAGGATGCCGGGCGATGGTGGCGCACGCCTTTAATCCCAGCACTCGGGAGGCAGAGGCAGGAGGATCTCTGTGAGTTCGAGGCCAGCCTGGTCTACAAAGTGAGTTCCAGGAAAGACACAAAACTGCAGAGAAACCCTGTCTCGAAAAAAATCAACAACAACAAAAAAAAAAACTCAGGTTGAGGAAGAGAAAAACAAGTCCCCCTCCCTTCTGCCATGCAGCAGCCTTGCAAGGGGACCTTGTGTCATGTTTTATAGATGAAGAATGTAAGACCAGAACTCTTGAAGTGACATTTGAGCAGTAGCCATGTCTAAACAAAACTACTTTCTCTGCAGATAGGCTGAGCAGCAGGTATATTACGAAATGAGGTGGCTGGAGCTAGAGGCTATGGGCCAGGGATAGATACTGACGATGTTGTGTTTCAGGCCTGAGAATAAAAAGCTTGTGATCTGTGGCAGTGTATAGACTGTAAATAGAGAGTTATAGCATGATGGCATGACCCCCCCCCCCCCCCCCCGCAACTAAAGTCCAGATGGTAGGAGACATGCCTGCCCCTTAGCCTATTCTAAAAAGACAATGGCCTCTTCCAAGAGGTTCCTGAACAGTGGCCTGGTCAATGTGTCCCTGTGCCACTCACCTGGGCTGCACCTCTCCAAAGAACTGCCCCCAGCGACCCAAGACTGACTGTGAATTCTAGAAGCAATTTCACTTTTCATGCATACATGGTTGATGTTAGCATTTCACAAGACTCTTAGAGTCTGGGCTCCCCGCCTCTCCCACAGTGCTTCTTGAAATATGATAATGTCTGTTACATACAGATAAGAACAGCAGAAAACCTCATGCAATGTGCATAGGAACTAGAAGTTGTATAAGCTGTTATAAGTTGGAGAGAAGCTTTTAAAATAGGCAGGATCACCTACTCTCCAGAACAGGAGTGGATGCTGTAGGCTCATCTGTGACCTGTCACTGAGATACATCCAGCCCATGGACTAGTAATGGTTTGTCAGTATGAAGAAAAGAGTTCAAAGAAGAATAGTTTGCCACAAACAAATGACAGGAAGCTCAAATAGCAATGCCTGTTGAAGTCTCCTCAGAAGACAGAGCCCCGCATTCTCATGCAAGTTGCATGAGGTTTTTGCAGTTCTTGTATGTAGGAAACACTGGTTTCCCTCGGGCAGCTGCAGCTGGTTTGATGGACAAATGAGGCTGAAAGTTTTCCTTTCCTGCCCGGGCCCTGCTGTCGGGATGAATCTCTCTCACCCGCCGGACCCACAGCCACTCAGACCCAAGTAAACATACAGTGGCTTAATATTATTTAAAACTGCTTGGCCATTAGCTCAGGCCTACCACTGACTAGCTCCAGAATTTTCTGTCTGTCCTGCTCACCAGAAGCTTGGCTCTTTTCTCTACCCTGGTGGCCTCATCTCCAGCAAATAACACCAATGAATGGCCTAGACTCCAGGCCCTAGATGGAAGACTTCACTGAAATAGTAAACAGAGCCAATATTTGAGAGTCAGAATAATCCGCTTACTCTACTGAATTCTACCCACTGGAAGCACTGGGTACCACTATAACTTAGCTTCTTACAGAGATGTTTTTAAAAGCCAGCTGGCCTTTCCTGTCAGAGAAATGTCTGTGTGTTAAAGCCACTCTGCAGAGCACAGCATTTCTCAGTCAAAATAAATACAAGAACTGTGAGGAAATGTTCAGTTCATGGGCCTTTGGCAAGAACCTGCTAAGTCCATTCTACCACACCCTAAGAACATACCCTAGACAGACACTGGTGCTCTGTTGAAGGCCCTATCCCAAACTGACCAACAAGCTTAAAAGGTCATGCAAAGATTCTGAAGGTGAATGTAACAGAAAATGCCATCTTCTTAAACCCTGGGTACGATTACATGAAACACCACCACATGGCCCCTGCTTGAATGCTACTGTACTTAGTATAGCAGCTTCCAGATCCTGAGCCATGCCAACCGACCCCAACACCATCCAAGCCCTTCCCTGACTCCCCACTGTCCTGGGAATAACACTGCAAGCTGAGCCTTCCAGCCAACACATTGATTCCCTCTCTGCTTGGTCTCCAAGCCCTGCCTTGCTGGAGGCCTTGCTAACCTCCACTCAATCCACTTCAGACGACTAGCTCCCACTCCCTACTGGGTCATTTCTTCAGGGAATCTCTTCTCAAGAACCTGATATCTAGGTCCTGACCATGGCCTCACAGGGCACTGGTAATTGAAACTTGCATTTGGGATACTCTGTAACTGTACTGTGAACACGTCTGTCCATCAGCCCCAACATACATTCCTAGACAACAGCAGTTCACCTTGGTCCTGGCACACTGTGGCTATCTAATCACAGCTTGCAAGAGAATGAGTGGGTGGGATGCATCAGGGCCTCAGGACTCCTGGCTGAGCAGGGTGCCATACTGCGAGCGTCATGAGCTCATCTGCAGAATGAGGTAGGGATGCTAACACTGCCAGCTGTTTGTGCAGGGTGCTTCAGATTTCTTAGCTATTTAGAAAGCAACAATCCCTTCCTTCCTTCCTTCCCTCCTTCCTTCCCTCCCTCCTTCCTTCCTTCCTTCCTTCCTTCCTTCCTTCCTTCCTTCCTTCCTTCCTTCCTTCCTTCCTTCCTAAGTACACAACTTTGCTGGAGACGCCCTGCAGTACCTACAACCGTGCACAGTGAGAAACCCTTTATGTGATCGGCCAGTCAGCATATGCTTGCAAGTCCTGGATCTGAGCACGCTGGTGTCAGGAGAAGCTTGGTATTAGGAATATTAAATATGATGTGCTGAACATGCAGCTCCCTCCAGTGAGTGAGGGATAGAATTCATTAGGGTCTGAAGCATTTTGTTTTCTTTCTTTCCAGTGCAGATGTGGAAGAGAAATACAAAATGACAGAATGAGCTTGGATATTAATTAGCAAAGGCCCCTGGGGCGTGGGAGGGGGGATATGAGTTTGTGAATGTTTTGACTAGAAGTCTGCCTGGTCTCTGTTCATATAGACTTTGCAATCCAAGGCTTCCCTTCCACCTACCCTTCCTGCTTACTGAGGCACCAAGAGCAGGGGTGGTGGAGAAGGCAGGAAGTGGCCCGTCAGCCAGGTGTGGGTTAAGCCCTTTGCTGTTTTTAGTAGCAAGACCTCTCACTTCTGTGGGACCAACCCTATTTTCCTCACCCAAATGCAGACTAGCACTCCTTACTCAGAGATCTAAGGGCGACAAGTACAGATGACAACACAGAAATATGGGCATCTCAACCCAGTGATGGCTGTCGTGAGGAACAGCGACCACGGCACAAGCCACGCCTCTGATAAGACTGTGACGTGGGAAAACATCCAAACTTTGATATAATGTGTGGTGTTGCTTTTTAATGAGGATTTGGTTTCTTTACAATATCTTAGGACCTCTGGTGCCTGTGGAAATGAGGAAACTGAGGCAATAGCATGAAAGATGGCCCAAGGTAAAGGCAGAAGGTAAGGCCTGCCCTGAGGGCACCCCCTACCCACCCATCCACCCACCCACCCACACCATCCTAACCCTACCTTGCCAGGCTTCTCTTTGCCACTGCTGCTGGTGGAGCTCAGAGACCGCATCCTCTGCTCCTTCTGCTCCTCCACCTCAGACTTGAGGTGCTCGATGTGCACCAGATAGGCCTGCTCCTGGGCTTCCCTGGTGCTCAGCTTCAGCTCCAGGGCCTTCTTCTCTTTCTCCAACAGGTACAGCTGTGCCTTCAGCTCAGCCATCTCTTCCTGTGGAACAAGGCACACAAAGCCAATGAGAAGCTGCTTCCACTGGATGCCCAAAGGGCTGCCATGCCGAATGGGTGCAGAGGAAGACTTGGCTATAAGTCACAGGTATGCAGTCCAGACATCACTTCAAAGCTGGGGACGAACTATCTCCACACGTCTGTCTGAAGGGCTGACAGGTAGACAAGTGCTTTGTCATCCTGTGGACTAGAATTTCTACGTGGGTAGAAGTCACGGGCAAGCAGACTTCCTTTTGGTGTAAGGAAAAACCTTTTAAGATGCTCTAGGACCCCAAACCAGCACACTTGCCTTCGTGGAAACCTGTTCTCCAGCATGCAAAGGCTAAGGTGTAAGGTGCATCCACCTAGGGCTGTCAAGGAAATATCCATGCAAAGAGGTCTGACTGGGCTCCTTCCAACTCCCATTTCACTCCCATGTCACACTTGTCACTCTGCAGCTGAGCCAGGAAGGCCGAGGAATGCTAATTATACTAGCATCTACTTCAGAGGGGCCAAATCAGCAGGAGCAACCATGGCCCACTGGAAACTACACATCAGATAAGGCCCTTTTGTTTCCTCAATGCTGGGAATTGAACCTAAGGGCTGTGTCATGTGCATACTGAGCCGACCCACAGATAGATAATTTCTGAAAATCTCCTAAAAGGCTTAACTAGTGGTTTTCTGTGAAGTAAGATGTGAACCCAAAATAGGACAGTGCTGACCTGGACCAGGAGCCAGAAAACAATGGCAACCATCAGTCTTCCTTGAGCACACAGCAGTTTAAAGAGTTCACAGAAAGGAAATCATTTAATCTTCTGAAAGTAAGGAAGAGTTGAAGGGTACCCACCAAGGCTTGTCCTCCTTGGGGGCACACACATTAGTCACTGTGCTCAGTGACCTCTCAGAACAGGCCAAACCTGCTTTACTATGACGATCAGACAAAGCCAGAATGGAAAGGGTTTTCCTATGGGAAGCCATCTCGTCTTTTGCTATCAGGAGGAGGATTCCAAAGGCGATGGCGACGGTGTAGCCTGAACTCCTGTGATGGTCACTCTCAGAACACACACACAAAAGCAAGCTTACAGGAAGGAAAGGAGAAGGTACAAGTGCCAGAAATAACAGCCTAAGTCTGCACTGGAGCCTCACAAGGTGGCTTGAGACAACAGACTGCTCTGAAGTTCCTGACATCTGTTTAGGACCACAAAAGGGCAGGCCTTGGCCTCCATGAGGCAGGCAGCCATGTTGATACCACCTACGTGAGCAAAGACTCTTGAAGTCCTGCCTGAATAAAAGACTAGGGAACTGCTTTCTGGAGGTGTGACAGGGGAACTTGTCATCTCTCAGGCTATGGGTGAGAAGAGAAATTAAGCTCTTTTGAAAAATCAAAATTCAAGCTTGTATATGGATAGTACAAGAATCCCCATACCAAAAAAAATTATTAAAAATGAATACCTGACCTTTGCAATCCACAGGTCACAAGGGATCAGGACAGCCAGAGTCCTGGGCTGTGAGACCCCCCAGAGACCATGGAGACATGTTCTTTAAGGAAGACATGTACATTCTATCCCCAGTGGAGTTGGAAATGAGTCACTCGGAGGATGCATAGTTAGCCTATGCTTTTTTGTGTGTGTTTGTTTTTTGAGACAGGGTTTCTCTGTGTAACAGTCCTGGAACTCTCTTTATAGACCAGGCTGGCCTCAAGTTCACAGAGATCCTCCTGCCTCTCCCTCCTCAGTGCTGGGATTAAAGGCATGCTCCATGGCCACAGCCACCACCACCAGCTTGGTTAGCATATGTGATGGCAATGAATCAGCATTTATGGGAGCAGAAATAAAAGAATGTGAAAAACTAGAAAGCAAGTATTTTCAACAATTAAAGGGGTAAAGAATAGGATCCTAACAAGAAGACAGGACATGCAGAAAGAAGAGTGGGTTCTAAAAGGGATCGAGTAGATCATCCAGAGAGGAGCAGTATTTACTCAAGAGCATTTATATGCCAGAACAAAGTGGTAAATCCCAACATAGTCCACTGGCTAGGGAATGAGTGGTTCAGCGCACACTGGTGAACACATTAGAGAAAAGGAGACGGGGCTGGTTGTCAGTTTTCCAGAAGCACTCGGGAGGAAAACCAAGCCAGAACACGACAGTCACTGCTCTGGGTCCTGAGGTCCATGTTACAGGTTCTTCCAGCCTCTCACCACTTCTACATCTTCAAAAAAATGTGCAAGATGAGTGCAGTTTATTTCAAGTGGAAAGGGCAATATTAGAGCATTCATACACACACACACACACACACACACACACACACACACACACACACACACGTCTTTCCTTGGCCAGATTAGCAGTAAATCTGTCACACCACATATTGGCTGAACTATAAAAAGGAAATGCTTAGTCTTTGGATAAAAGAAAACATGATGTTTGGAGTAAAAAATAGAAGAACAAGCTAATGGCTCATGTCACATGGTCTAAGAGTCTGCAAAAGAAGTTCCTGGCTGCGACAATGTCACTACGATTGTGTACTCAGGGCCAAGCTCACAGGCAGTCCTGAGAATTCAGCCAGAGGACTGTGAGCACTCGGAGCTAAGTGGCTAGATGAAGAGCCAAGTAGAGGGATAAGGTTCCTACCAAGGAGGGATGCCTGGGTTCCCACATCTCATCCTGCTGCCCAGCATCTTCCCAGATTCAAACACCAGCATCTTAGAGAGGTGAGGAACAGGGCCTGGCAGTGTAATCCAGAGCGGACTGAGGACCTGCACCAGCTGCTCCAACCAACCTCCCCCCTGCTGGGGCTTGGTTGAGATGCAGCATGCCCTGAGCTAAAGGGGTGGCAGCATAACTACTTGCCAAAAAAGGACTATGGCTTCTCTTTCTCTAGAAATACTGGCAGGTAGCTCAGCCCATGGGTGAAGAGCCCTGTTCTGCCAACTTTCATTGGAGGGCACAAATTCTAAACAGACTTAGAGCCCCTAATGCCCCAGGGTGACAGGAAACCAGAGCTTTTTGCCAATTACTAAGCTGGCTTTGCCACGGTCTCCTCCTATTCCAGCTCCCACCAGCGTGGGTGATCCAACAAGGACTTCTACCACTACTGAGATCAGGGATCACCATTAGACAAAGGCTGCAGGTCTAACGTAACCCTTGACAGGCAGTAGTACTGAGCTGGGGCATTCTATAGCATCCTCTGGAGTTCAACTGCCTTTCCAATAAAGTCCAGCCCACAGGACTTCTACACAAACAAAAGCCAACCTTCTCCACAGAGACCGGCTATCGTCCGGACAGAGGTAATTACTAACTGAACTCTGCTGGCGGCCATGCTCTCGGGGCCCTGAGAGGTATCCCTCTAGGTGGGCCCAACACATGAAACCTGCAGCACACCTTCATGGCCATCAGCTCCTGCATCAGCACGGCATTCTCCAGGTCCAGCCTCTGGCTGTCGCCCCTTGGCTTGACGTCATAGCTGAGCGGGTCGATGTGGATGCTCTCCAGTTCCAGCATGGTCAGCTTGACGGCAGCTCTGTCGTTCTTGAGCTGCTGGATATAATCCTTCAGCCTCTGCTCATCTTCTTTAGTGAACTCCGTGTCACAGCTGCTGGCTGTAGAGCTGGTGGTGCTGAGGGACAAAGAGGAACCCCACGTTTCAAAGTCGTCACCACTAGACCTTGTCTCCTCTCCCCCCACCATTATTGTGGTGGCAGTCATAAAAGAGAAACACACACACAATAAATAAATAGATAATAAACAAATGACTAAATGGATACTGAAAGTACATTTTAGATCATGGTGTAGACTCTAAAAATGAATTCTGAGATATTCCCCCTGAAATAAAGACATATGTATACAAAACTGTTTCCTATAATAATGTGATATAAGGTAAAGTTTAGCATATGATGGAATGCATCAAAGAGAGCCAACAATGTGAGCAACTTCTAGGATGGAAAGCTCCTAGGGGACGTGCCTTTACTAGCTTTGTCCCTTAGGACAGGACAGAGCCACTGGGAGGTGACGTGGACAAGATGAGCCTGGCCATCAGACTGAATACCTCTCAGGCACTGGGAAGGGCGTTTCCTATGCCATCTAATTTGGCTACAGTACTCAGGTACTTTAAAAAACCTGTCTTGATGATACTATGAGGGTCTATTTTAGATGATAGACAGTTATGTTGGTGGAGGAGAGTAGTCACCATCTATGGATAGGCCTCATTCAGTCCATTGAAGGCCCGGAGAGGAAGAAATTCTGCCTCCAGGCAGCCCTGGACAAAGGATTCAACAAAAGTTCTTCCTTTGAGGCTCAAGCATGACCTGAATATGACACCCTAGCCTCTATATTCAGATCCCTAAAAATCATTTTCTGCATGTGTGTATGTCTGGACATATGACTGCTGTATTTAAAGGCACACATATAGCCGCATCTACATGAGTAGTCATAGCTTTGTGCACCACCTATTGGCTCTTTCCCTTTGCAGAGATCTCATGCTGGAGTGCCACACTCACTTGTGACCCAAGCATCTTAAACATTGTAGATGTCATCGTTCCTGGCTGCGTCATAACATCAATGCTTTGTAAAGTTGTGACAATGATAAAACAAAGTGAAATGTAAGGTACTTAAATCAGTATACCATAAGCACTCGATAAACATAGCTGTTATTTATTTATTTCAGAAATATCAGGGTGCTTCTCATAGGGCACCCTTCTAGGCCCTGGAAAAACCCCTACCTTTATGGAACTCGTATTCTAACAGCAGAGATAAGCAAGTGGCGCTATGTAGTATAGCTGACATGACCCACACCGTGATAAAAAGTGAAATGAGAGACTTGGGAAATCCAAAGTGGGGATAGGTTTACTATCTGCAATAGCAAAGGGAAAGGCCTGCATGATAAGGCAACAACCCACTAGACCTAAAGGAGGAAGGAACAAAAAGAGCCCTGTGGATATTTGGAGGGAGGCTGATCAGGGCTGAGCATGTAGAAAACTCAAACCTCCTAAACAGCAAGCTTGGCCAGCAAGGAGGAGTTATGGCCCATGCAGAATCAACCAGCTGACAGCAACAGGCTGGGGGGGGGGGGGGGGCGTGCAGGGGGCGACCAGGTGTCACAACACAAAGGGCTTGTAAGGACAGTATCTTCTCTGGGATTGGAATGGATGTTACTTTGCGTGTTTGTGAGGGGAGGCCCTGGCCAGATTTACATGTCCAGATCTCTCTGGTCTGTCTCTATGCTGAGGAAAGATGTAAGGAGGCAAGGGAAAAGGCAGAGAGGTCCCTGGAGGGGGACACCCCAACAATTCTAGAGGAGATGCCAGTAGCTTGGAGTAAGTGTGAGCAGAAAGCGTCGGGGGAAAGATAAAAACAAGGGGTCATGATGTGTGTTATGTTTTAGAAAGAATGAGAAGGAAGAAATACCACCTCCCAACCAGAAGCCTCAGCGCTACCCCTACAAACCCTAACCACCCCTAACAACCATGCATGCTGCTGAAGGAATCAGGACAGAGCCAGGCAGACCTGCCACATGGGGTATGTTAGAGCAAGTCCTACAGAACCAGAGGGACTCACCATGCACCTGTCTGCAAACAGTTCAGGGGTAGGCATGCCACACACACTGACCCCTTCGGGTAGGGCTCACCTCCTTGCACTCAGCAGTGACAAAGGGACAGAAGGCCAGTGTTCCCCAGGTGGAGGAGCCCAGGTGACAGCATTGTTCACCAGGCATTCCACAGGGTGGAGTGTGGAGATTGCTTCCAGGAGCCCTGGGTTTACACAAGGAGGCAAGTGGAACAATGGGGCTTCTCTCTGCCAGACAGCTGGGAGGAGGCCTCAGCCTCAGCAACGAAGTCTCTCCCCATGACAGATGCCACCTTAACTCAGGTGTAAGCCATTCCTTTCATTAAAAAGTATTTACCAAACCAAATACAGAGAATCACCGATATCCCTGTGCCACGCACATGACACTAAGCAACCTTGTTAATTTTTATTTCAGATAGAAATTGCAAAATCCAAATTTTGGAACTATGACATTAATAACTGAAGCAACCTTGTTAATTTTTATTCCAGATAGAAATTGCAAAATTAAAAGAATTCAAAGCTAGGTAGGGCTCTCTCGCTTTTCTGTCCAAACTAAAGAGATAGTATGGAAGAATTTCTATACGGTGGGCCTAATCTACTCCACCAGTTCTCAGATAGCCTCCGGGGTAGTGGCTTCCGTCTCTCCTAGGCTTGTTTAGGGTGGCACTCCCTTCCCCCAACACCCACAGTGTCAAGACTTCTGGGAGTGGGGAAGGGATGACAACAATCTGTTCCTTAAGACAGACTCCATGCTGTGCCTGCCACCAGGGCAGCAACAAATGGAAACTCAGCAGATAACCAACTGGCTGTCCTCACATTTTTTCTAGGGGTGGGGCTGCTACGTACTGAACTGCTCCAGTGGATTCCCGTGAGTGCTGGCAGGCCTCTGAAGCCGATCACACCTGCACAGCCTTCCTTGGGCACACCCCAGCCTCACGGCCCAGAGGGAATTGCCTAACTCATCTGGCTGCAGTCAACAGAAACACTGGTGGCTCCTACCTCCCAGAGCGGTGGACGGACCAGCTGGTGGTGCCCACCCCGTGTGCATTCTGGGTGAGGAACAGGATAAGGGATACTTCCCTGACAGCTGAGTAAAGAGTCCTACCACCAGCCTCAGTGTCCCCTAGAGTCTAGATACCTGCCATCATGCAGAAAAGCTGCAACAGAAGAGACAAGAAGTCAGTTCTCAAAGGCCTCAAAGACCACCTAGACCCCTCTGGAAGAACATTAGTGGGCAGGGAGTATTGGGTTCCTTTGCCTGCTGGGACCTGGAGTTGGTCACTGGCCAAAAAGGACAGTTTTGGTTTCTACTGTCTTTGCTATACATGAAGAAAAAAAGCACAAATATCCTGGTCCACAGATCTTACCCTATTAGGAGGTAAGAGCTTTCACTGCTCTTACACAGGGAAAGCTGAATTTCAAGGCAAGTACCACAGCCCATGCCTCATCAGCCTAGCTCTCTTCTCTCCCTTCTAGGATACCAGCGGGGAGCAGATCAGGCGAAGGTAATTACAATTCTGCTTCATGCCCTTAATGTTCCACAGCCCAATTTGATTATGATGATGGGAAAAGGAGGAGAAGCCACTGGCCCTTCCTCTGGCCTCCTGGGGGCTGCTGCTGGCTGCCGGACAAGGGCTAAGTCATCCATTACCTCTCCCGGCTTGGAATGCAGGATGAGCTCAGCTGTCAAGGGGAATAAATCACTTTCTACAGGCAGCCTGATCCCTCCTCTCCAGAGCCTGGAGGTGCACTGAGAGCAGGATGGAAGGAAAGCCTGTAGATCAAGAGCCCAGGCATACTCAGCTATCCATGTTTGTGTTTTGCCCTGGTTTTCTGAGGAGCCAGACAAGAGCCATAGGTTTCTTTTGGCGATCCTCTGCTCTGATGGAGCTCCAATAAAGATAGCTTAGTCTGCAACAGCTAATTACCAGAACATTCTGCTGGAAACTCTCTGCTCAAGCTGCCAGCCACAGTCCAGGGGAGGTACATGACTGCCAGGCTCAAAAAACGAAAACAAACCCCTGCTTTCTGCTTACCCACAAACCCCTGCTCTCTGCCTACCCACAAACCCCTGCTTTCTGCTTACCCACAAACCCCTGTCCTCTGCCTACCCTCTCTGCTCTCTGACACACCATTCAAACTAGCTCTAGATGCCAAATGTCATTTCTTCCGTTCCTCTGCACCAGGTGCCATCTCTGACTTCTGGGTGACCCATCCTGGAGACTAAAAGAACCAGGTCCCACCGAGGTAGGTTTTTCTTATGGCACTAACGAACCAGTTAGCTTCAGATAGACATGCAGGCTGTCTGCTGATTTTCTGTCATCCAGAGAAGGTTGCTGTAACAGGAGGAAAATGCAGCCAGCACAGAGCCACAAAGGCAGGACACAGAGCCTGGTGTGTGTGACTGTTCACCTGTATGACTTGTCACTCAGAAGTATGACAACCCTCTGCCTTAAGCTGGCATTTGTCTCATGCATATAGGGCCCGATAGCCTTTCAATCAGGGCCCCTCTTAAGCTGTTCATGTATTTCTGTCCTTTGCAACCCCAAACCTTATTTTATAAAGCCCCAGTGATATGATGGAATTCTATCCCAAAGTATTACCCAGTGTCCTGGTGGGGATTCTAGCATGGGGAACTGTCACATTGCGTAGTGTGCATTTTGTAATGCTAGGACTTAGTTGTTGATTTTTAAAATGAATATGTGGGTTCGACCGGTTCCTAAAGTTAAGTCTTAAGAAGGAAAAAAAAGTACAGAAAGCATTTCATATTGCTACTGTAGTCACATGAATGGAGAAGGAAAGTGACTAGGACTGGACTAGCATGTTTCAGCTGGGTGCTGGTGCTCACTAACACTAGCAAGCATCCCCCCCCCACCACCACTTTGAACACTCTCTCCTGATACCTGGGGGAAGGGCCTCTCTTTTTCTGTAATATGACACTATAAGAGCCAGGCCTGTGTGACTCTCGTTCCTTGCTGCTTGCTGCTGGGGGTGGCAGAGACCTGGCCTAACTGGATAGTGGTTCCAGGACAACACCTTTGCATCAGACAGTGTTCCACTGGTCTAATCCACTCCGCCCCATGAAACTTCATCTTAACTGGGACTGGTATAGAAGGTGCAGGCCAGGTCCTTCTGGTGCTCCATTGCCCTCCACTGCAATTTGGGCATCGTGCCCCAGACAGCCTGGCTAGCCAGACAGCATTCCAGGTTCCCAAGGCAGGAGGAGGCTTCACAGCAAGGCTGAATCACCCTTCACAGATTGCACACCCCCTGTGCCCATTTTATACTGAAACAAAAGAGCCTCCATCCCAATTTCTAGGAGGGCACACTTGCTATGGCTTTGTGTGCTTTCGTGGATTTGGATCAGTGAGTACACTTCCACAGACTGAGCAGAAAGCACAGTGCTTGTCACCAAGGGGAGGCGGCTTGCTCACGCCTAGCTCTACTCTGACACTCCAGTCCATTTGCCTGTGCTGTGACTTGTTGATAAAGCTATGGAGGCAACCAGCATTGCCTGGCTACTCCATCCATTAAGACAACCCTGCTTTCCGATAGATCTGCAGCTGTAACTTTAAAATGTGAAAGGTTTTCTTTTTGCTTTCATGCTGGGGTCCCGCCAAGGGCATCAGCTGAGAGGTGACTATCATTCTGATCCTTTTTGCTGGGTAACTAACCCTCTGCTGCTCCTTCCTAAAGCCATTAACCCTCTTGTCCTCGGGAGCTGTCAGATGCCTCCAGGGACCTGACCTGAGCATGCCTCTCCTGAGACCTTGGGTGGCACTGGCTGACACCCTGACTGCACATCTTGCCCGGTGGTCACAGTGGGAGGGAAGTGGGTGTACTGAACCACACAAAGCCCTGGCTCAGAAAGCTCCATTTTCCTAGGACAGTGTTTGAGCCAGGATTCCAAGGCTTATAAATAAAATTACTGAGAATAGTGTGACTTGATGGTTAGGGACATTGTATGAACCTATGTTTATCACAAAACAATCCAACTGTGTCTGTTTTATGATTATGGAGAGCCACATGAATGCCCTGTGTGTTCTTCTGTACAGGTTCTGAACTGCTCTGACAGGGGTAGGAGGGGAAATGACAATTTAGTGGAATCAGAGTTAAAAAACCTGTGTTGATGGAAGATCCATTTGAGACGAAAATTTGTTAAAAAAAAAAGAACCCCCTTTTCCCCCCTCGCATGCATGTGTGTGTGTGTGTGTGTGTGTGTGTGTGTGTGTGTGTGTGTGTGCGCGCGTGCACGTGTGCATGTGTTTATGTATGTGGGTGTCTTCCTGGCCCTATTTGTATCTCCTGAGCACTAGGATTCTAGGCAGGCATCATGCTTGCTCAGCGTCTATGTGGGGGCTGGGACTTGAACCTGGGTCCTCACACTTGCGCAGCAAGCGCCTGACCCACTGAGCCAGGGTCAGTCTTTAGTGAGCTCATTTTTGAAAGCAGAGTCTGTGTCTGAATGTCTCTCAACCCATAGATATACAAGGTGAACAATTAAATTTCTCAAGAAAATGTTCTAACAATCAAGCTTACCTTTACTTCAGCTATCTCCTGTAACAAATATTCAAGGTCAGTTCTCCACTAATAGAAGGCTAGGGAACTGTCCTCACTTTTGACCTATTCCAGAGTTGTCTCTGACTCCAATCGAAACAGCAGAATTATGTGAAGAAAGGGGAGAGATTGCAGCCAATTAAGCAAGACATTTCCCTTTCACCCAACTCCTAACATTCATTAATTCAACAGAAGACTCTCACTGATAGGCTGAACACGGAATATCTACTGAAACATAGAAACTATAGATTATAAATACCTGCAAACAGCATGGAGAAGGATACAGGCTTCTGTTTTTAAATAGAAGAATATGGTCTTAAGGGAAAAATTATAAACTATATGCTGCCAAATAAGACAATTGCTGCTTCAGCTTGGAATAAATATGCCCCTGTGTTTGTAGGCAAGTAGTCAAATGTGGGATTGTGACTGTACTTCCTCCTGGGACATGCGGATACATTGAGGTGAGTGGTTGTTCCCTCCAGTGGGAGAGGGGAGTATCCAATTGCTTTTAGGCATCAGGACAACATCAGTACTTTTGCTTTGGTCTTGGACAGCCCATTGATCCTGATGTACCTCTCATCGCTTGCATGCAAGCAGACTGTCTTATAATGACATGAGATCTAATGTGCGGAGTAGGAGGAACACCGTGCGTGGTGCTGAAGGGCTAGGTTTCCCTCTTAGCAGGCATTTGCTCTTACACAAGTCACTTACACATCTCAAAGCCAAGGTGTTCTCACCTGTGAAAATGGGGTGAGTCACCCTTGGCTTTCCCTAGCTGAAAGTCCAGTAAGAACCTATCAACTGCATTCCGGTCTGAAAACTGGCATGTAAGGGGAGGAGGTGCATGATAGCTGGCAGAGCTTTGGTGACAAGAAACGATCAAAATAAAAGCTACCAGGGGCTTCATTCTGGTGCCCTGCCCCCATCCAGAAAGAGCCACCTGCACCAGTGACAATGCTTAGAGTCTCCCTCCGCTGCTTTCTTCTTCTCCTAAGAGCCCACTTACTCATAGATGGTAAACCTGACCTCAGGTTCACGAGCAAGTGCCTGCCTAGGAGGTGCTATAAATACATCGTCACTTGATAAAAGACATGAGAGCACAGCCTCTTGCTGTAGCGGAGCTCTTGAAGGACAGGGGCACGAGACAGAGAGTGGAATCTGAAGCTAGCGCAAGGGAGGCTGGGTCTGTAGCAGTGAGCATTAGCTTGTGCTCTAACAAATAAAGCCTGCCTGGAGATAGAGTGTGGAGCTAGCCAGGAGAGGCCAGGCAGTGGCGGCACACACCTTGAATCCCAGCACTTGGGATCTCATGCCTTTGATTCCAGTACTTGGGAGGCACAGGCCTTCAATCCCAGCACTTGGGAGGCAGTAACAGGAAGTGATATGGCTGGGCGGAGAGAGGAAGTGATAAGGTGGGGTGGAGACAGGAGCTCAGCCCCCGTCAGTCTGAGGATTCCTAGAGGTAAGATGTCTTTCTAGGGGCTGGTTGCTCTGCTTCTCTGGTCTTTCAGCTTTCACCCTGATATCTGACTCTGGGTTTTTAATATTAAGACCAATTAATAAGACGGTATATTAGCCATTCCAGGAAATGGAGAATAATAAACAGTTCGGGGAAAAGAACACCAGACAGAGAGTAGGCTCATTTCCCATGTCTGTCATTCACAACATGCCCATGCACATTCTACATTTTACACATTCTACAGCCCTGTCTCTCCCGGACTGTCCTTTCCACATAGGCATACCAAGGCCACCCTGCAGCCCCTCCTCATAGCTCTGTCTCCTTGGATAGAACAGGGTGTGAGCACGAAGCAACTCTGCCATATCCAAGCTGCACAGTCCCCTAGAGTGGGCCAGTGAGAAGGCCACCGCGGGCAGAGGAGTCCCAGGGCAGAGTACCGAGTCGTACCTGGTATGGCTGTTGGAGGACAGGCTCTCCCAGGGCTGTACGCCGCAGCCAGCCACAGCGAAGGCTCCCCCGCAGCTGCCGTCCAGCTTCATAAGCAGGGCTTTGGCGGCATTCTCAGCGGCTTTCCGGCAGTCGTGAGCCCGCTTGAGCATCTGAGTGATATTCTCATCCCCTGACTGGTCTCCTACATCACAGAGAAGCCGAAGGGTTAACGGACTCAGGGTGGGAGTCAGGAAAGCCCAGGCTATGCTTCTGTAATTGATTCTCGGTTACTGAGAGTGTGATGAGTGGGAGGACTGAGGAGGCCTGTGTTCTGGGCTAGTGGGGTAACCGAGAAGGGGTGGGAAGGCGTTCTTCTGCATGGGTACCATAATCCTCATGGACAGTATGATCTCCACCATCAGCGTCGAGTCCTAACATGTTAACTTTCCCCATTTCCAGGTTGCTGGCGTCTCTTCCCACTCAGGCACATGTCTCCGGTGTGGTGGGATTTTTATGAATGAGGGCAGGGAGAAGCAGGCAAAATGCCACATTGCCACACATCGACAGCACTGTCAGAGTTACATGCAGGGCAATAGGGATACAGCAAGTCGTTCAAACTGGAACTGGCACATTCTCTACACTATTCCTCTCAGCCTGGTCAAGGTGGCCAACTCAGGAGGCTCCAGAAGCTGGGTGACAGGGCTACGCCAGGGCACAGGAGTGTAGGAAGCCTAGAGCCAAGATAATGAAGTTAGCCCCTGCTCAAGATACTCACATTCCTGGTGTGACTTTTAAAGCTGTGATGGAAAAGATAGAACTATGGGGACATTAAAAAGCTCGGAGAGGTTTAGAAGATGACTTTATCAGTAAAGTACCTGCCACTCAAGCGTGAGGACATGACTTGAAATAATCAATAACCATGTAAAAGCTGGTTGTCGTGGCACACATCTGTAATTCCAGCACTAGAGAGGAGTGGGAAGGGGACAGGCAGATAGATCCCGGGTAGGTGAGGGACAGACAGCCTACCCCAACTGAGGAGCTCGGAGTTCAGTGAAACAACCTGTTCCCCCCCCACCACACCAAAAAATATAAGGTGGTGACATATGCCTTTAATTCCACAGGGAGGCAGAAACAGAGGCAGGTAGATCTCTTTGTGAGTTCAAGGCCAACCTGGTCTACATAGTGAGTTCCATGCCAGCCAGGGCTACATACTAAGATCCAGTCTCAAAAATTAATTAATTGGGAGAACATGATAGAAGATGACACTCAACTCTGACCTCGACTTCTGGTTTTCTCACACACACACACACACACACACACACACACACACACACATACACACACACACACACACACACACATACACACACACACACACACACACACACACACACACACACACACACACACACACCAGTGCAAGCCAACCCACCCACATAAGTGCATATATCCACTCAGAGGAACATGTGCATATGCTATACATAAGCACACAAAATGTCCAAAGGCAGATCACTTGCCTAGGTTGTAAAAGGCAACTGGGTTTGACTCTTAGAACTTAAAAGAAAAAAGACATATAGACAAGAAAAAGAGGCAAAAATGGTGGTTCTCAAGGACTGGGAGAGCAGAGTGAGAAAGAGGAATGAGAAGACAAAGTTGAGAGGGTCTTTCCGGGATGGCAACTACCAAGCACCGAACTACGACGCATGATGCTGCAGTGGTGGGTCCATGTCACCGTCCATTTACCACACCCAGGGAGGAAACTCTGATAGAGACCAGAACGGTGGATGACAATGATGTCTGGTACACCTGTTATTTATCACGGAGAAGGCTGTGCATGTGCATGGGAAATCTATGTATTTCCTCTCAACTTTGCTGTGAACTGAAACCACTTGTGGTGGTTTGCATAAGAATGGCACCCATAGGTGCATGCATTTAAATGCTGGGTCACTAGAGAGTGGCATTATTTGAAAGGGTTAAAAGGGTTAGGAGGTGTGGCCTTGTTGGAGGAGGTGTGTTACTGGGGGGGGGCTATGAGGTTTCCAAGGTCCAAGCCAGAGGCCCAGTCTGTCTCTGTCTCTCTGTCTGTCTCTCTGTCTCTGTTTCTCTCTCGCTTTCTTTCCCTCTTTCCCCCTGCACCCCTGTCTCTTTTGGATCAGGATGTATCTCTCAGCTACTGCTCCAGCGCCATGCTTCCCACCATGATGATAATGGACTATCTCTCTGAAACTGTAAGCCAGCCCCAAATTAAATGTTATCTTTCATAAGAGTTGCCTTGGTCATGGTGTCTCTTCACGGTAATAGAATAGTGACTAAGACACTACTCTAAAGAATGAAGGCTTCGAAACAATACAACTGTGTTAGCCAAATAAACTACTGGCTTGTCATGCATACAACACAGATCTGTGTTTTTCTCATGAAACTTTAACTAGTGAACTGTGCTGATATTTTAATTGTGCTGAAGTCAGGCAGTGGTAGCATACGCCCTTAGTGAACATTAAAAACATAAATGTGGTTGGGTAGAGTGGCAGGCAGCTTCTTTACCCTTCGTGCCCATTGCTGAGGCCCAAAGACACTCCTTTGGTTTCCCAAGGTACAGTTTGAAAACCACTGGGCTAAGCCTTCTTGAGTGAACATCATGAGTGCCTGTGCAGTCAATAATAAACAAAGACAACCACAGTGATTGACACTGTGAGTAAATGTCACAAACCAGCTCTTGCTTAGATAGCACGATGGGCAGAGTGACAGATCAACCACCACTGTCAGCAGGAATTAAAATTGGGCAATGCTTAGCACTGTGGAGAATACTCTTCGGTAACGTGTGATTCCCATACTAAAAATACATCCCTCAAACTGATTTTCAGCCATGTTCCCCATGTTTCTTCTTTCCACTAGGAATTTTACGTATACCCCACCAGTTGATTGCTCTCTGTACGCTGTTCTAAAGTAGGCATGGTATCATCGTACAAATGCCTACAGGAGTTATCTGGAATGAGGGAAACATGAACACTTCATTATTATTGCAAATGGTTTGAATACTGATTTGTTTAAGCCATTTCAACTCCTACCAAGTAATTGCCCTGTGTAGGCACCAGCCTAATAAAGATGCTTTTTGCTCATGGAACAGGTTAAGACATCTTGTGATACAAACTAGAACATGATTGATTTTTTTTTTTCCCTCCTCTAATTGATGGTTTGCTTATTACATATTTAAAAAAAAACTTGACAGCAGGCCAAGATCATTTTAGGATCTGTTTCATATGAGGAATAAAGTTTTATGGTTCAGTTAAAAGACCCTGAAAAATGAGGTTTCTAATGGAAATGTTGGCAGAGCTTCTGCTTCTGGGCTGGCCCAGGCGGTGGGGCTGGGACCAGAGGGTGGAGTGGAGGAATGATGGGTGGCCACCTATCCCAAGGATAAATGCTCCCTTGATAGAGAGCCTGGGTAAAAGAAAGAAAAGTAATGCTCAGCTTCTTCCCGTCTTCAGGGTTGATGCTGATCCCCGGGGGCATCAAAATTAAGGGGAGGAAAACCCCAACTGTCCTTGCAAAGGTGACAACAGAGAGGTGGGAGGGATGGGGGTTCACACAGAAGGTGTCTGGGGAGTAGCCTCTGTGGTAGTGGGTCCTGGAGAGACAAGGCCCATTGGAAGTACACAGCCATTAAGGAGCTATTCATTTATTACCCTCCCTCCCCTCCCCTAGCTTACAGCTCAAAGCAACTTCCAGACAGCTTGGTGGTCATACACGGGGACACCTGGCCTGCCCATACTGCCCACCTTGGAAGGTTTGGAAAGCTCCAGATCATTTGAGTTTTATGGACTTGTCGTTTCTTCCAAAAGGCTGTTTCTACAAAGCATAGGTGAGTGTGTGTCCAGGGCACAGTAAGGGTATGGCAAACTCCCTTCCTCTCCAGCACTGCCCTGTGCTGTCCCCTCATACCAGTACAGGCCCTGCACTGTCACTGGCTGAGTTTTAGCGACATGGTGAAGAAGCCTACACGCTCTTTCTACTTACTGTATGTGTCGGTCCCTTTAACAGCATTGTGAGCCCTGCTCCCTCGGCTCCTACTGTCAGCCTGGGAGAATCCATTTCCTTAGAGTGCTTGTTTGTTTTAACTTGTCTGTGATGCTGTTTCCACTCCAGTTCTTGCTTCACTCAATGTAAACAATTTACCCACTCAGTCAGGAGTGAAAATGGAAAACACACTTGACAAGCAGATTTCATGTTTCTGGGAGATGACTCATCGCCAGGCGCAGTGGGGACAAGATGAGAAGTAGCACAGAGGGAACCCGGGGGGACACTTACCAGGGGAGGAGCCCACACCAGCTGCCCGGAATTGCCCCAGGATGAGGCTCTGCTCGCTCTCAGCCAGTGCCAGTAGGAGTTCATAGGCTTCTATGCACTGTTCACTGCAAGAGAAGTACAGCATGGCGTCAGCTCTGGCAGGGACGGTGGCCATCTTCATCGCCGGTGCCTGCCTCGACCTCCCCACCCACAAAGTGAGGAGTATTCCACATAGAAGTGCTTCCTGGACCAACTAGTGGCTTGCTATTATGTTTAAAACAACAATAACAACAACAACAACAACCTTAAGTTCTAGAAAAATACATTGAAGCAATAAAAGAGGGAGGGGCACACTGGTTGTCCCTTTGATGACCAGTCAAAAGAGACACGTGACACCCCTATAGTACTCAGCCTCCACAGTAGCCTCTCCTGAGCCTGCATCCCAGTATGTATACTCTTCTTTTGTCCCTTCACTCTAGCAGGGTTGGTGTCCGCAACTTCTAGAAAAGATGGTAAGCCACACCCAGCATTAGGCTCTTAATGACTTCCATCTAGATCATTCTCCCACTCCCTTTCTCCCTCAGATCATCTTTTCTGAAGGACAGCAGGGGCCTCCCGATAGAGAGACCCATGAGAAGAGTAACTGAGACTTCTAGCTATAGCCAGGGAGAACTGAGTCCTCTAGACAGACTGTCTGCTTGAAAGGAGGCTGGCCTATAGCGCCCCAGCAGAACTTTCAGAAATTGTAGCCCTACTTGACACATGACCTTCAGAAGTGCCTAAGAGACCAAAGGCTTGGCACAGGTAGCCATGTCACTCACAGATGCCTGGTCCCAACACCTGTCATGCAGCCCTCGATAGTTACTAAAACTTCCCTTAAGGAGCTAATCATTTTGACCTATATGTGTACTGTACAGTAGACAATGGCTATATGTGGCTATTTCCAGTTAAATCAAGGGGAAACTTCCTGGCGGCCTTTGCAGTGGCCATATTTCACAGGTGCAGTTATCACGTGGTTTGCCAGTTACCACGGTACTGAGCACAAACACAGAATGGTTCCATCACCACAGAAAGTGCAAATACAGACTGCCTACAAAAGCCTCATGAAGCGCTGTTAAATTGTGCATGGAGTTTGGGCTTGGATGTTCGAGAGAAGGAAAAAGTCATTCTCTTCCATGCTCATCATCCGCTGAGCATACAAGGCAAGCCCAAGTACAGCCTCTTTGCTCGGCCTGACAGGGCACAATTCTATCTCCCAAAGCAGGAGGATTGTGAGTCTGAAGCCAGGTCCGACTATGTAATGAGATACTGTTACACACACACACACACACACACACACACACACACACACACACACACAAAGGGGCCCCTTTCCAGTGGCCTGAGATACACACAGATCCATGTCCAGACAGGAGGCTGAACACACACGCCTGACACCCATGTGGTCAGGACGAGAGGCTGGCCGCAGCAAGGTTTCCTTTGTGAGCAAATGCCCGATGCATTTCTCCAGGCTGAACAAGGGAAATGTTGCTGTCATCTCCATTCAGCTGGGGCGCCATCTGGTTTCCATTGTTTGCATGTTCACCACCCTTCCCCAAGACTTGAAGAAGAGGGTCAGACCACCAGCTGACAGGGTGGGGCAGCTCCCTGCAAAGGCAGGCAGGCAGGCAGAAGGTGCCAGGCGGGTTCATCCTGCAGGATGTGCTCATGTGCAACCCTCTAAGACCAAAGGTAGAGGGTGGTCCATGTTAAAAGTTGTTGAAGAGGAGCTCCTGGTTGGCTTGGGAACTGAAATCCAATATGATCACCATCCTGCTTTGGTCTCATTATGGTGGCTGATTTTGTTTTTGAAACTGTGACCACAGTTTCTTAAGACTATACTGACATTGTCTTGTACAGATAACATTGGTAAAAAGATGCCGAGAGTAAGATACCGTCATCTACTCTGACTTTGGCAACCGGCTTATGAGGTAACACTGACAAACCTCAGAGGACAGCAACAAACAGTGTCACAGCTTTCAGAAGGGACGGAGTTAGACATGATAAATCGAGCCAAGGACACTGCTCGGTGAGGAAAGGTACTTCCCAAAGCCTGACAACCTTTGACCTGGGGACCCAAGGAGTGGAAGTGACTTCAGCAAGCCGTCTTCTGGCCTCCACATGTGTGCCATGGTGCAAAACCCATCACCCAAATACATACAAAGTGTAATTTTCACAAACAAATAATATCAAAACAAAAAAGTGTTATTACTTATAAATGAGTTAAATGTAGTTTTTTCAAATGGCTTTTTTTCCTTCCTTCCATTTGTTTGTTTGTTTGTTTGTTTGTTTGTTTGTTTAGAGACAGGGTCTCACTATGTGGCTCTGGCTGTCCTAGAACCTGCTGTGTTGAACAGACTTGCCTCTGCCTCCAAGTGCTGGGAGGAAAGTTGTGTGCCACTATGCCTTTACTAAACTGGCTTATTCTTCATGGAAACCAATGGGTGGCATGTCTGAAGAGCTATGAGAATACTCATGTCTTCTGGGACCTAGAATTCCTGCTTCAGGAACTTTATCCCAAGGAAGATATTCCAAAGACTGAAGATCTTACCTGTATTGGGCTATTTACTGTTGAATTCTTTTAATACCTGAGGTCTTCAAAGGTCTTTTAGAAAAATGAGCTGCAGGTGATTCAGCCATCCACAATAAACACAGACCATTAAGCCATATTTAAAAACCATGCCAGGCATGTGCAAGACCTGTACAGGTTGAAGCCAGACAGGCTCCAAGCACTGAAAACCGAAGTGGACATGGGCTCCACACCCCTAACCATAACCAAGAAGCTATGGGCAACTGATACCCACTAGCAAAGGGACTGTCAGTTTTCTCTAGTGGAGTCTTACCGGGTGTATCAACCACACTCCAGGGCAGCAGGCCCCATGCCCATGGCTGACACAAAATAGACTCCATGGCCTGTGTGTGTGTGTGTGTGTGTGTGTGTGTGTGTGTGTGTGTGTGTGTGAGAGAGAGAGAGAGATGGGGATTTTTTTTTGTTGTTTCATTTTGTTTAGGCATTGCCTTATTGGTCTTTTGCTTATTTGGTTTTCACTTTGTGGGGTTTTGCTGTTTTTTTGCGGGGAGAGAGAGAACAAAAGCTTGGGTGATTAGGGAGGATCTGAGAGGAGTTGAGGGAAGGGGAAACATGATCAAAACATATTGTATGAAAAATGTTTTTAAATTTAAAAGGATAATTTAAAAAAATAAAATAGACTAGGTGTGGTGGTGCCTACCTTTAATTCCAGCACTCAAGAGGCAGAGGCAGGTGGATCTCTGTGAATTTGAGGCCAGCCTGGTCTACAAAACAAGTTCCAGGACAGCCAGAGCTACACAGAGAAACCCTGTCTCAGGAAAAAAAAATAAACAAATACATTTATTTATTTTTTTTGCCAAGCCTGACAACCATGGTTTGAAACCTGGAACTCATGCGGTGCAATGAGAGAAGAGATTCTCATGTTCTCTTCTGACTTCCACACATGCGTTGTGGCATGTATGCACCCATGCATGCATGCACACAGCAAATGAATAAACAAGTTAACGAATAAGTAAATGTTAAAGAAACAAATAAATACGGGCACACCCAGGACATCCTCCCGTCTCTGGCTCTCCCACCTGTACTGCAGGGCCAGCCTCAGCGCGGTGGCGTTGGATTCGTATTTTCCCACCAGCATGCTCATCCTCTCGGCATTGCTCTTACACTCCTCCAGGGTGATGGTGAGGAGATCGTTTTGGGATTTGAGGTGCTCGATCCGGCTACAGAGAAAGAGACACAGATGTCACACGCACACACGCACGCCGGGACTGTGATCTGACGTTTTACTCGGCTCGCTGACGTGTAGGCAGGATAGTCATGGTAAGATAACCGGGCAGGGGGAGGATCAGCAGATAAAGTGCCTGCCATGCAAGCAGGAGGACCTGGGTGTAGATCGCCGCACAGGTGTGGCGGCGTGAGTCTGTACGTCTGGTGATGCGGGTATGGGGGTCGGGGGAACAGAGTCAAGCAGCTTCCTGGAAGACCGCTGGCCAGCCAGCCCAGCCAACTGGTGAGCTCAGAGTTTGCTGAGAGGCCCCATCTCACAAACTAGGACAGTGACGAGCCATAGAGGAAGATGCCTAATGTCCACCTCTGGCTTCTACACACGTGCACAGGTGAGTACACACAGGAGCACATACATATAACACCGACAAACATACACACAGAGATGCCTATGCCTGTATAACGCACAGGTGATATGGGAGGCTGGAGACACCGCTCAGTCAAGTGAAATGCTTGTGGCGAAAGCGTGAGGAGCTGAGTTCAATCCCCAGCACCCACTTAAAAGCCAGGCAAAGTGGTGGTGTCTGTAACCCCAGCCCTGGGGAGGTGAGGAAAGGGAGATCTATGGAGTTTGCTCACCAGACAGCCTAACCAAATTGGCAAGCTCCAGATTCACGTAAGAGATGCTGCCTCATGAAAAAAAGGCGAAAGAGTGATTGAGAAAGACGCTTGGTGTTTATCTTTTCCTCTACACATACACAGATGTGCATGAACTTGTATGCACAATATATATACACACACACACACACACACACACACACACACACACACACACACAAAATGATGATATGGCATTGTTGGGCATTTTAGCAAGTATAACTGACACAAAACAATCATTAAATTCAGTGTGAATAAAAAACAAAAACTAGGGCCTGAGTGTGGTGGTGCACATCTTTAATCCCAGCACTCAAGAGGTAAGTAGATCTCCCTAGGTTCAAGGCCAACGGCTCCACACAGTGAGTTCCAGGATAGCCATGGCTATGCAGAGAGACTCTGACTCAAAACACAGACAACGACAATAACAAAATGAGACTGGTATCTAGCTATGCTTTGCCTATGCCACATGTCTGCACTGTGTGAGGCCGTGGTTCTAACACTAAAGGAAAGCAACAGCTCTGGCACCCCATAGCTCTTCAGAGCAACTCCAACTATGCTGCAACAAGCCATATTGCCTGGGGCAATAAACCACACCTTGGTCATAAGGGCTGCTGTTGGCTGAGCCTGCCCAATCAGGTGTGATGACCCCTGTCATCCAGATGAGGAGATACAGGTACTGAAAGGTCAAGTTCCTTGACCTGGAACTTAACCAGGCTGGTCAGCCCACATCTCCTGCTCTTAACCACACCCTACAGAGCACTAGCAAAGGTGAACTGGTGAGCAGTCAGGAAAAGGCCACCAGGTTGTCCCTAAGTGGGTAATGGACCAGGGACCTGTTGTGGCATAATCCTTCTGTACACTGTGAAGATGTGTTGCTCTCGTTGTTAATAAAAAGCTGATTGGCCAATGTGCTAGGCAGGATTTTTAGGGCAGAAAGGATGTTGAGGAGAAGAAGGACAGAGTCTGAGGAGATGCCATGAGACACAGAGCAAGCAGGATGGGAACTATGTAGATAAGGTAAACGAATGAGCCATGGGGCAGCATATAGATTAATAGAAATGGGTTAAGTTATAAGAGCTAGCTAAAAACAAGCCTAAGCTATCAACTGAGCAATTATAATTAATATTAAGTCACTGTGTGGTTATTTGGGAACTGGCTGGAGGGAAAGAAAAATCTGTCTACAGAGACCCATGACCCAAAGGGACTTCTAGGTCAGATGTCTAGCAATACCAGTGACTAGTACAATCAGCAGTAAGAACTTTGAGGTTTATATTAGATTCAGAACTGTAAATTCTAAGTAATGAGTTTGAGGGAAAGTCAGAAAACAAATGTAAACCCTTTAGCTTCTCCATTTTCTGTCCTAAGACATCTGGTTGTGGTCATTCATTTTCCACAGAACCCACTCTTTCACTGTCTTCATATCAGCAAGTCTTTGAGAGACTTGGGGTTTACCCCAGAAACTGCAAGAGATTCCTGAGGGTGATGGGAATGTGGAAGCCACTGGCCTTGAGCATAAATTTTAAGGCAGCATAGAGATGCCTAGAGGGGACATATCTTCTGGGAGAGTCATGAAGACTCCTATGGGCCATAGTGAGTAAGGTATTACAAACACTTTTCTGCTTTTGTTCATTTTGGCTTCTTCCAATGGTTGCCACTTTCTCATTTATGCTTCCAGTGTAGTGGTCCCTGCTAATTAGAAGCCATTTACCCCACTACTGACTTCCATGTGGCTGAGTGTGAACCATCCCTGCCTGAAACACCTTCCTTGCTCAGGTCAGAACACTCTGGCTGGTCTTCTTCTGAATGTAAAGGCTGTGAGGGTTGATGTTTCCTTGGGGCTCAGGCTTGGGGTCCCATCTTCTGCCAACACTCTCCTTAGGGGTAGTTCTATCCAATCTGTGACTCCAAGAGGCATTTCTGTTTCCATGGCTTCCCATCGTTTCTAGCCCACACCTCCCTCTGAGTGTCCGTCCCACACATCAGCTGCCTCCTGGCATTTCCATTTTGCGGGGTGGAGTGGGTCACACACTGCCTCCAGTTTAACACTGAAGGGGGTGCTTAATTTTCTTCAACCTGCTCTCCTTCACCTTCCCCATATTAGTAGTCACCACCACCATTCACCTAACCTCACAGGCTAGCATGGGAGCATCCCTGAGACCCTTTCTTACAGCCAGACCCTAACGTTGCTGAGGCTTCTCATATCCTGAACCCATTATGTTCTGTGCCTCCTGGCCCGTCTCAGACATCTCTCCTCTCCTACTCTTGCTATCCTTTACCTCTAAGCTCCAGAAGGCAGAACAGGTTTTGTTCTTCCCGTTGAAAAATGCCTTCCAACTATATTTAGGCTAAAGAGTAAAATCTGCTATGGAATCCGAATCTGCATCCATGCCAGGCGCTGCCTGGTGCCCGCCCCTCCCTTGCTTCCTGTACATCCTCTCCATGCTAGCCATTAGCATCTGGTGCCCCCCTTGCTTCCTGTACATCCTCCAGGGCCTCACCCTACCTTAGTCCCACAGGTCATTGTATAGTTTCTCCTTTACATCACCTTTGTCCAGCCTGGAGGCTAAGGCTCTTCCAGCCTTGTCATTGGCTCCTTTTTCTTTAAGACCTCAAGACAAACCTTCCCTCTTTAGAGACACCTTACCAGACCACTTGTCAAGGAACAACCTCAGGTAAGGGGCATAACTCAGTGGCAGAATGGTTGGAAAGCTTGTACAGTGTCCTGGTTTTAACCTCCAGCACCCAAAGTGACAACACTAACAAGTAAAGAACTCTTGACTTTTTCGGGGTCTTGGAGACGTCTTTTCTTGTAGCTTCCTCTACTGTGCTTCGTCTGTATTTCCTAACAGAATATACGCTTCATGAGATTAAGGGCCTTCTCTGCTTTGATTTGCTTTTCATGTTGCATAGTACACAGTAGGTGCTTAACACAGATGTGCAACATGCATAAATACAGCTTTGAGTAAGTGTGCTGCCCTACTCCAAGAAAATCTGAATCAAAGGCTAGCATTTTTTAAAAGAATTAGGCCTTTAATGTTGAGACAATCAAATAATAGTCATTAAGACAGTATTTCTAAGAAGCACAGCCATGATCATTGGACAACAGGGTGAGGGCAAAGGGCAGCGTCTGGAATTCTGCCTTTGTTAAATAACTGCTCTGGACTTCATCACTTAACTTTCAACCTCAAAGCTCTTATTTATTTATTTTTTTCATTTTCAAGGGACTAGCCTTATCCTCACAAGTTGAACATGAAGAGGTTTTCTGTGCACATCCATTGTGAACATCTATTGTGAGCATCCATTGTGAGCATCCATTGTGTGCTGCTGAACACATAGCCTGAGTACTAAATAGTACGTACCCCTTCTTTGTTCTCTCTTGGGTGCATATTAACTGAGAAGAAAGGTGCCTCCCCCAAGTTCAGCAACAAAGCAGACCTTTGAAATCCCAGAGAAGAGATCTTCAGCTAAAGGCTGAAGGCATATGGGCATAGGGCCCCCTGAAGGCACATGGCTTCCTTCAGCCGCGAAGGGCATATCTGCTTCAGGGCTAAGCAGTCCCAGGCCAGTGGAGGAAAATGCTGCTGCCTTGTTACTAGGTGATCCTCAGGACTGGCACTATAAAGGACTTTGGATTTAATAAGGAAACCTCCTAATTTCAAGATTTAAAAGTGATGGAACTGGAGAGATGTTTCATCAGTTAAAAGCACATACTGGCCGGGCGGTGGTGGGCACATGCCTTTAATCTCAGCACTTGGGAGGCAGAGCCAGGTGGATCTCTGTGAGTTCGAGGCCAGCCTAGTCTACAGAGCGAGATCCAGGACAGGCACCAAAGCTACACAGAGAAACCCTGTCTCGAAAAACCAAGGGAAAAAAAAAAAGCACATGCTATTCTTACAGAGGATCCAAGTTCGATTCCCAGCACCTATGCTGGGCAGCTTACAAGCTCCTGTAACTCCAGCTCCAGAGAGATCTGATGGCCTCCACAGGTACCTGGTACTCACATGCTCTTACTCACACAGACATAGACACGTGCACATTAATTTAAGAAAATACTTGTTAAAATGACCTAGATCACCACATTCCCTTTGTTCTCCACAACTAAAACAGCTTCATATCAGCGAGGAGTAACAAGTTAGTTTGATTTATTCCATTTTGCCACACACAAGAGGAATGGAATTCAGTAATGATAGATGGGAATTAGTGTTCACATTCCTGCTTGATGAGCTCATGAGCCTTCCAAGCTCTTCCTGCGCTCTCACTGAAGACTGCTAAGTCAAGGCAGCCACATCATTCCTGGAGACTGTTCAACCGGCCATTCTGCTATCATGGAACAGAGTCTGAGTCAGGGTGGTTAGCGGGCTTGGCTATGGTACTTCTTAGCTTTTGAAGCAGCTCCCTCATCACTAAGATTACACTCCAGCTTGTCTTTGCCAAGAGGCAGAAGTGCATGCTCCAACTGCAGGAGAATCGGGAAGAACCTATAAAGCTGTTACACGGCAAACTCATCCAGTTAGGACAGGATCGGGACTTCCTATTCATGCTTGAGCATAAAGGAAATCAGGCAACCCTCAGAAGAAGCAGAGAATTCGACCAATATGCGGGGCCAATGCCAAGAAGGGCTCTAGCACATTGTCTGTGCTCCTTCTGGCAAACACAAGCACCCCCCAGACACTGACTCAACATTCCAGGACTTCCCACTGTGACACTCTGCAGCATAGCCCCATACAGTTGGCAGCCATCTATGACCTACTTGACATTCTCTATGGCTTGCTCCCAGGACTCCCTACATACGTGGAAGGGTCCAAAGTGAAATGAGAAGGCGGGGCCCCTTGTTCACCAACTATTAAGGATTTAGAATAGTAACAGCAGAGTCAGACAGAATGCGTCTGCACAACCTTTCTAAGGATGAGCCTGCGCCTGCCCCCCCACTCCCGTGTGAACGTGTGTCCCAGCCCTGTGATGTTGATCGTGACTGCCACAAGCACTCCTCCATCTCAATCCCAGATGACCAGCCTGGCCATGTCACTGGGGGTCACAATTCGCAAGCCAGTTTGGATGAGATTTTAGAAGGAGGGTGGGGAGCAGCTCCCGCCCCCACCCCCAATGAAATACACCATGTTGCTCTCACCTGTTCAAACGCTCTGTTTCCACCTCAAACTCTCTAATCTTGCTTTCGGAGATGGCAGATCCATGTGAGTAGAGCGTTTGGAAAATTTCCTGGATATTGGAGCAGTCCTGAAGTGAGTGGGCCAGGTGTTCTGCCACGCTGCTGGAAACCTGTACAAAGGAACATAAGTCCCTCCAGAGATGCTAGGTCAGGAGCACTGGTCCCCAGGCACAATTTACATATACAACAGCTTAAAGGCAAAATGCTTTAAGAATTTGGCACCAAGAGATGGTTACTCTTCTGAGTCTCGTGGGTCTCGGTTGGTATAACTCGAGCCTTTAAAACAAGTGTGAAAGAATTATATGGAACTCAATCAGCTCACAGCTGCACCTCCTAAGTAAGTGATGCTGGAATCGACAAGCAGGCAAGATCAGTTCTAGAATACTGAAAATTCTGGACATTAAATAGAGTCTGGGCTTCCTTCTCTCACCCTGGACTCCTGGCACTCTTAAGTCATAGTCTCTGGTGACAGTGGCCCCAAAGAGAGGCTGTTCCCTTTATCCTCACAGTTGGGTTTTGACACAGAATCTGAATGCATGTGATTTTTTGCTCAGTGTAAAACTTCCAACTAGGAAATTAAAGTGAGTTTTTGGATTGTTTTTAGGTTCTCTCCTCTTGCCCTAGGATCAAAAGCTAGCTCTCCCAGCTTCATGTCTAATCATAAAACATCCTCCTTAAAGAACTGAAACTGCTCCCCTGTCACCTCACCAGCCATGAGCCTCACTCCCTGGAGGTTCCAGGCTCCAGCTATGAAGACTCTCATACTAAACAGGCAGGTTCTGTCCATTCTCTGCTAGCTTTGGGCCACACTTCAAAAACAGCATTCCCCGTCCCTGGACAGTGTGTTCCCTTCAAGATGTGTGTGCAAAGACACAGTTCTTTTGGAGTTTTGCAACTCCCTGGGTCTCCGTGGAGCAAGGCGATATAAAGCAGATACGTCCAGACATTCATTGACATCACTAAGTAACTATATAAATGTTATTTCTTTTTTTGGAAGATTTCAAGTGTGTAGGGGTTGGGGGCAGGATGGGAGGCAATATCTCCCTTAAAGCTGAAGTAGCAATTCACCATTTAGAAACTTTACACGTTTTACTTGGCTTCTGTGAAATGAAACCATTAGGATTCATTATATTATTAACTGATAAACTGGAAGTGAACAATGACCTTTCCATCCTCTAGGAACTATGGTCTGTGTGGCTGTATTGGGTTCTTTCTTTCCTTACCCCTCGCCGACACTCACCCCAATGCTACTGATTTCGGATCCCAGGACTGGTCGATCAGATGACGATGATTCAGATCTTGTCTTTGATAGCTTCACCCTCTCAGCAATCTTAAAAAAAATACATATATCAGAAAGTCCACACCACTCCCCCACATACATTGAGGCAATGCTTACACAATTTTTAACCAGGTCAACTAAAGTGATTCATCAAAACAATTCAGTGATTTCAGCCTTGCTATCATAAACTTGAAATCGGGCTTCCCAAGCTCAGCACATTTGGGGCTGGACAGCCTGGGGAGGGAAGAGCTGTCCTGCCCACTGTGAACTATTGTGCAGCATCTCTGGACTCTAGCCACAAGATGCCAGTAGCACGCCAGCTGTAACCATTCACAATGTTCCTTAGGGGACAAAAGTCACTTGTGGCTGAGAAACAGGGGTTTCACCTAACTCACTAAACTTAAAGGTTTTATTGTGGGGACGATCAGGGCGGCCAGGCAGGAAGACACCTGCCATTTATACCATGGGACAGGCCCCTTTTAGAAGATTGTATGAAAGCATTGTGTGCTGCGGCAGAGAACAGTGGTAACAATGTATTTTTTCTTTTCTTTTCTTTACTGTGACAGTGTCTCACTATGTACCCCTGGGTGGCCTGGAACTCAAAGTGATCCTCCTGCCTCTGCCTCCGGGCTGGAATTACATGGAGGCACTCAACTCCACACTTAGCTCTGTGATGTGTTTCTTTTGCTGGGATAGCTGTCAGTCTTCTGAGGGGGATAATCATTGCTTTACCACTCAGGGTCCCCTCAGGGCTGAACCTGAGTTCCTTGAAAGCAAGTACCCATCCACTGCGCGCGAGGTCACACTTGACAAAACTCTCCACAATGGCTTGTCAGCTGTGACATTTTCCAGCAGGCTGATTAATGAGAGCTGTTATACAGGTTGCAACTGGGAGAGACTTAAACCTATTAGTGGGTTATCTCTCCCTGCAGCTTGGCTTGAGGGAGTTGACGCTCAGTCCCAGGGGAAGCCCCTAGGGTCTGTGCACTGGTATGTCTGCCCAGTGGCGGGCTCAGCCACAGCGGGGGTCTTCAGATGAGAAATGTTCCAACTCACCAGACTCGTGTCGTCCCCCCCCCCCCCCCCCCCCCCCCCCCGGGAGCTCACCTTGGCGATGGGGATGTCATTGCTGCTGCTGCTGGTGCTCAGCTCTCCAGTGCTGGGGTTAATTGGCCGATTGGCAGAAGTAAGGCGACCAGGGCTAGAAGGTCCAGTGGCTTGGACACTCTGCAGTCGAGTTTGGAGTTCTCGGACCTGAAACCACAATCCCTTTAGACAGAGCTGGTGACTTCCCAGGTTAAAGAGAAAAAGAGCCAGGCGGTCAAGGGCAAAGCTTCCAACTGTGATGCTCAGCTGGTCAGGTCCACTGAAGCCACTGTATCCTTAAGGGGAGTCACTGCTGACCAATCAGGAAGGAGAACATGCCAACTAAGCAATGGATGCTTCCAACCCAGGAGGAGGCACACCGTTAAGGAGTGCTTGTTCATACAGCAGAGAAGCACCTGATGCCGTGGTGGGCAGGTCCAGATAAGGATGTGATCGCTAGCCTTAGGAAACTCGGAGCCCACACAAGGTAGTGAACAAGAGTCCTAACATACATACACAAATGCTAGAAACATCATTCTCAGTTGCTCCAAGGCAGCAGAACATGGAAAGACCCTGCCTCTACCTGAAGTACTCCAGAGAATGTAGGGGGTATGGAACCTAACTGGGTTCCATAGGAGAAAGTGTCATGGGTAGGCTTAGCAGAGGCATGGCTGGGGTAGGGTGGGGTCGGGGAATAGAATTGTATGCACAGTGTCTGGAAGATATACAGTACTGGACAAAGTGTTATTAGAGACAGGGGCTTTGGGAGAGAGGTGAGACCAGGATAGAGCGACAGTGAAGGTACCAGCAGCGTTCCTCCAGACAGTCAAGGCTAGGAGCATCCCTGGTACAGTGGGAAGGAACATCTAAACAGTGGAAGCATAAAAACTCAGCAGTGAAGAGCACTGGCTGCTCTTCCAGAAGACCGGGGTTCAATTTCCAGCACCCACATGGAGGCTCATAAATATCTATAACTACAGTCCCATGGGACAAGATATCCTGTTCTAGCCTACATAAGCACTAGTCACACATGTGATGATCAGTCATACACACAGGGAAAGCACCCATACACATAAAATTAAAAAATAAAATGACACAATCACACCACAATGAATGTCTAAATCTCATTCATCTGTGGTTACTGCTCTGTTACCAATGGGAGAAATATCCCAGTAAATGGGGACAGTTGCTACCTTTCTGATAACCATGGGCACACTTTTATCATCAGAGTACAAGGACTATTATCAAACTTACTTATGCAGCCAAGAGGACCTTGAACTTCTGATCTTCCTGTCTTTACCTCTTGAGTGCTAGGATTACAGGGAAGTGCTACCAAGCCTGATTTATTAGACTTCAGGTTGACTGCAGCACTGAAAACTTCTTATGAACCAAGCATCAGACTCGGACACCAAGAAGCCATACTTGGACATTTAGAGTAGGGTTTTCTAAACTTTATAGTGTACCAGATCCCCCTTAAAGGGCTAGTCAGAAACCTAGGTGGCAGGGCCCCACCCCAGTGGTTCAGATTTATCCATGGTGCATGAAGCCAGGAATCTGTACATCTAATGAGCTTTCCAAAGATGTGAATGCTGGATGTCAGGGAAGCAGCTGACCCAAGGCTATACAGCATTATGATCTCACACACAGGCAGAGCAGAGCCAAGCCCCCGTGCCACAGGGGTTTGCTCTTGCTGCCACAGCCCTTCCAGGCAAGGGCAGGGAGCAGGTACCCAGCCCCCCCTCTATAAGAGCTTCTCATAGAAAGCTTTTATACTGAATGTCTGGGCTATCACTACCCTGCTATCTTGGGAACCAAAAGTAATTGAAGTTTCAATAATTCATCAACATATTATAAGCCAAAATAGGGAAATTCCCTTGGAGCAAATTGCATTCAATTGTGAAGCCGATCAAAAGAGCCTGATGCTTTGCTGGAAATGTGCATTAGACAACAGACGCAGGGGCCACATCAAAACAGGGTGCAGACCGTAAAGACACAGGCTTGCCAGAGTCAAACGGAATTCCTGGTGGGAGATTTTTCTGGAACAGTCCCTGGCAAACCAAAGGCAGTGTCCGTGTGGAGGTTCATCAGGCCACTTGGCAGAGGGGGAGGGCCCAGGCTCCCACCAAGTTCCCAGGCAGCTTCCCTGGTGCAGTTTGTGAGGTTCTGAATAATTAACCAAGTTAACATCACCTCTAAAACTTCCATCCAGTCTACACTGAACAGGAAACAATCAATGGCCTGCTCCTAGAGCACCACTCAGCCCGCTCTTCTTGGTGTGTTTGTTTGGTTGGTTAGGTTTTCTGAGTCAGGATCTTATTCTTTAGCCCAGGCTGGCCTTGGATCTTTTAGCAATTGTCCTGCCTCAGTTTCTCTAGTACAAGGATTCAGGCATGAGCCAACATGGTTTGCTTTTGAAAAATACAAATAGCTCTAGCAAACATATTAAAACACCATTAAAGCTGACCTATGTTTTAAAAATGTTTGCTTTCCTAATCACAAAGGTACTGAATGTTGACTGTGGAAAAGCTAAGTCGCACAGTCAGTTAAAAGGGAAAAGGTTCATCTGTCCCTTCAAACTGCTCTCCGACAATCGCTTCTAGTCATTTTCCATATGCATCCGTGTGCTTAAATATTTTCTAAATCTATACATTTTCATTTTAAAGGCTAGGAACTCCATGAAAATTAAAGAATGACAAATACCTTCCTTTTGGACTATGTCTTATTTCTTAATGACAGTGTTCATCAGTAGGCAAAATCCCACCTGAAGGGAGTCTAGTCAGCTATACAGAAAGAAGGGCAATTGGAGGGAATACATGACCTTCTCTTATAGATTTGGGGTGAAATTAAATGACCCAATACTCAGAACAGAAGGCTACCCAACAAACCAAATTAGCTTAGGCAAGGACGGGGTGGCAGGTAGTCAGCTATCAGAGAACTCCTATTCACTTCTCCTGTCGGAAAGGGTTGGGTCAGGAGTCCCTGATTGGAAAGTCAAAAGTGACTTCCAAATTCTACATAATACCTGTCAATGTGACTTTATTTCAGAACATCCTTTGTAGACTGGATGGCCCTATGGATCTCTGAGCTCAACCTGGACTTAGCTTAGGTGGGCGCCCCGCAATGACCTGCATCTTAAAAGAGAACAAACGGGGGGCTGAGGCAGAGACATGAGACCCAGTGAAGGCCATGTGGAGGGAGACGAACACAGAGACTGGCTGCTAGTCAAGAGCCTTGAGCTTCAGGAGTTGAGAGAGGCAACGAAGGCAGCTCCTTCCCAGCTGAAGAGAGGGGTGTGGCCCTGCTGCCCACATCTTGGTTTGGAACTTTGGAACCCTGGAAATATTAAGAATAACTTTTTTCAAGGCTGGAGAGATGGCTCAGAGGTTAAGAGCACTGGCTGTTCTTCCAGGAGACCTAAGTTCAATTCCCAGAAACCACACGGCAGCTTACAACTGTCTGTAACTCCATTTCTAGTAGATCTGACATTCTCACACTCATACATGACTCTGACACTCTCACACATGCCAGCAAACTACAAATGCACCTAAAATAAAAATAAACAAGTCTTTTTTCAAGACACTATATTTGTAGTGATTACCCGATAAACCCATCTTCTATTGAAGCTGCTTTTAGTAAAGGAAAAATGTGATATTTTTCCCTACAAAACATGGGGTATTTTTTTTAATTGGAACAGCCAAGAATCAAAGGGTATCTGATGGGAAAACTGGCATGTCTAGAAAAGCCACACATCACCCTGATAGTCCTTTTGAATTGGGTTCCTCAGCCCCAGGCCCTGACGCTGAGAGGCTATTTTCTTGATTCTCAAACTTAGTGTATAGCTAATACCCATGCAGATGTAGGGAAGTTGGTCTGCTTCAAACACCGGGACTCTGGTAGTGTATAAGGTAAGGTTCTTGTCTTCCAAGGACTCTGGGATTTCCACTATGAAGGGGTGTCAACAGGGAGTATCAACTGTAGAAGAGAAGGGCATCTCTCCTTCACAGGGAGAAAAGACAGTGGACTCTTGCTTCTTTCTGGTTCGTATTTAAGGGTTTGGGATTGCTTTGTGTTGACTACATTGACAGAGGAGAAAGGCCCGGAGCAAGGGGGAAGAAGACAAGAACTCTACTGAAGGTGCAGATGGGAAGCAACGGGGTTTCAAATAGGGAAGAGGGAGCAGAGGTGCTAAGAGGTGCTCTTGCAAGCACCCAGATGCGTGGGGATTTGGTCTCTTCACACATGGAGACCCTGATGGAGTATGAAGGTAAGAGACTATCTTCAGACAGAATTTCCCGTAGTGACAGCGGTGTTCCATAGCAGCCATGTCTGCCACGGCAGCATCAGATTGCATGGGGTTACCCTGAAAGCACTTGCAGTGTGCCTCGTTTACCCAAGGGAATGAATTTTAAATTGTGTTTGATAGGAATTCGTTTCAATTCAAACTGGAACGGTTGTATGTGGCTAGTTGTTACTGTACTGGTCAGAACAGCTGTATAAATATTCAAGGGAATTAAACAGCTGTCCACACTTGAAGCTGGGTGATATCATAGATCATGGTATTTCTCAGTGCAGTGGACACACACACACACACACACACACACACACACAGCCCCTTCCCACCCCCCACCCCACCCCCACCACTCCCAGAGAGAACAGCCAGGGCTCTGTAGGGAGACCGTGTCTTAAATAAATAAGTAAGTAAGTAAATTAATTAATCAAACTGAAGGAAGCTGATCAGAGATAAAAGCATATAGTGAAGAATTCTGGGTGTGGCGAAGGTCTAGGGAGGAGGAGGGGTAGATCGAGGCCATCTAGAGAGGACATGGGCAAAGGGTCAGTAGAGGACAGGCAGCGGAGCGCCTGTTGGGGACAGGAAAAGAGGGCAGGAGCAGGCAGAAAAAAGGGGGTGGGGCTGGGAGCCTGCCCAACTCTGACCTCACGGCGCATTTTCTCTGCTAGGTATATCAGAGGCAATTAACAGCTGTTAGACATGAGGAAGGAGTGTAACCTAGGATAATGAAGTAAGGAAAGATGTGGGGTGAGCAAGCCTACACAGCAACACCATGGGCTCAGCTGAGCTTCCATTCAAGTCAAGACTGGGAAGATGTTTTCTTCTAACTCTGGACACTAACTCTAAAGGATAGAAAAGAAAAGAATGTGCACGGGGC